AATATGTTCTGATCATTAGATGATTTTGTCCATGTGTGAACATCATAGAGTATGCTTACACAAATCTAGATGGTGTTAAGTCAATCACTCGATGGGGTCTCTTAATGCAGAAATATGGTAAACATATGTCTGAGGCTTTAGCCCATATAACACGGGATACTAGTTTTTATTTTAAGTAGAAAGAGTACACTCTAAGATAATGATGAAAAGAATAGTACGGTAAGTACATAAACTAGTAACATACTCTCTTATCATCAAGTATAACTTGCTGTATCTAACTTCACGTGCTGTATATTTTTACACAGTTAATAGTGAAGTGGGTTTATTAACACAAGCATCACCTCCACCATGGAAGTAATGCATTGTGCTTTGACATTAGGATGACTACAATCTCATTAGGTGACAGAAATTTTTCTGCTACTTTATAATATTATAGGACTACTGCCATATATGCAGTCTTTTGTTGACCAAAATGTCCTTATATAGCACATGAGTGTATACCAAAAAAAGCTATTTTTGACCCTATTTAAAAATATTTATGACTGTATTTATTTTATAATTGGAAACTTAATTTATAATAAAACAATTCTTTGAAACTGACTCTAATTTTTACTAGATCTTCTAACCAATTCTCTTAAAACCCGCACACCTGTGCCAGACTTATTTACATGTCCAACAGTCTCCCTTGCTTGAAATCATGTTTAGATCCCTGTACACAATTAGCTAAATATCCTTAGTGCTGCTTCACTAAAATACACACATTTCTCAGTAAGTGAGCATCCATTAGAGTTTTGGCAAGAAAAATCTTATAATGGACATTTCTGTAGGCATATACTTCAGGCCTTAACTGAAAAGAATAATAAAAATTTTTTACCATCTGGAATAAAACAGTGACAAATATTACAAGACTCAAATTATGTTCATATGCATAAAGCCATGTTTCCAAGTCACTGTTGTAATTCCTATCTCCCACCTAGGATGAACTAAGAGTTGTTTTTAAAAGGAAAATATTCACAACAATCTGATAATTCTCCTAAATATAATCCCCACTGAAGTGAACATATTTCACTCTTTTCTAGTGAGGCTATCATTATCATTATCCAGAAAATGCCTGCAGGAACTTCGTTGCAAACTGTTTATTCCTTTTCTTTTGCATGATTTAGATATGTTGTTTTATTACACATTGTTTAAATATCCCCTATGTGAAAGAGACCACACACACAGCATATTTAGATACGAATATAGGTCAAGAGCACCAAAAATGCAAATCACAGGCCAAAGGAATAATACCACCACATCACCACACTCAAGCTGTACCACTATAGTAGCTGAACCACTGGGATCCTGCATGATCTGTATCTTGAGTTCAAGCATAAATTCATTCTCTAGCCACTGGTACAATGGTATTAGTTTGGATCTCTCCACAGACATGGAGGGCTTGTATTTTATTTTATTTTTTTTATTTTTATTTTTTTAGACATGAAGCTACCCATCATATGACCTAAGTGAGAGCTCCTTTCCTGGGCGGGATTATGCCACACCCAGCCTTTGTGGCTGTTTATGGGACAGACAGCATCCTCCTTGGTGCATAAGTCTATCTGCCTGTACAGTTCCCTAAGGTGAAGTATAGTATCATGAATACAATGCAAGTTTTAAAGTCAAAAAGTTATGCACAGGATCTCTGAACTGACACTTCAAAGTCTATGCAGTCATGAAGTAACTGAGCCTCTGTGGGCCCCAGTATTATGAATTGAATCGTCCCCCTCAACAACATCCAAAATTCAGAGGTTGAAGATCTAATACCAGTACCTCAAAATGTGTCCTAATTTGGAACGAGGGTCATAGTAAATGTAATTAGTTAAAATGAGGTCATTCGTATGGACTCTAATCCAATATAACTGGTGTCCTTATAAAACAGGGAATTTGGACATAGTGGTAGACATGGTTCATTAGTCAGCTTTTTGTCACTATAACAAAATATCTGAGGCAATTCACTAATAAAGAGAAAAAGTTTATTTTGGCACATGGTTTTGGAGGTTCCAGTCCAAGATCATTCAGTCACACTGTTTTGGGCGTCTGTCAAGGGTAGAACATTGTGGCAAAAGCACACAGTGGAGCAAACTGCTCACATCATGAGTCAAGAAATAAAAAAGAAAGGACTGTCGGGGTGCCACAATCTCTTTTGGAGACATGCCCTTAGTGACTTCCCACAAGTCCCCACCTTCCAAAGATTCTATCACCTCTCAACGGTGTCCCCTGGATATCAATCAAGCCTTTTAACACAGACTTTGGGGGCAACATGCATTCAAATCATAGCCCATACATAAGGAGAAATGATGTCAAGAGGCATAGCGAGGGGCTGGCTTTGTGGCTCAATGGTAGAGTGCTTGTCTGGCACATGTGAAGCACATGTCACTATAACAATATATCTGAGGCAATTAACTACTAAGGATCCTCAGCACTACATAAAAAATGGATAAATAAAGTTATTGTGTCCATATACAAAAATATTTTTTTAAAATAGACATAAGGAGAAAATGGTCATCTCCAAGCCAAAAAAAAAAAAAAGGAAGTACAGATCCTTCCCTCACAGACTGTAGAAGGAACCAAACTTGTAGATATACTGATTTCAGAGTTCTAACCTCTGTCATTGTGAGACAATAAGTTCCTGTTGTTTCAGTCGCCCCATTTGTGGTTCTTTATTATGGTAGTCCTAAAAAACTAATATATCTGGTCTCCTCAAATGCTAAATTCTTAATCTAAAATGTTCAGTGCTATTAAAAAGATTAAAAAGTCTCATGGTAGGTGCTCGAAAAGAGAAGCAATATTTTATCATCACATGGATCATGATATTGGAAGTATTTGCCACATTTCCTTAGGTCTTGCTTCTTTCCTCGTCAGTCAGCCAAGTAGTTACAGTCTGTCCTCACAGCAATAGAACACTACTGGCAGAGAAGGAAGCATGGGGCAAAGGAGGGTTGATTATTGTGCCCTCTGGGAATCTGGGATGATTTCCATGTACAGAAAACTGGCTCAGAAAAGATCCTCCCATGTGTGAACCACGTTAAGAGCAGACATAGACCCTCTAAGTAAAAAAAATTAAGTTTGTCAAGACATTAGTGGGATCCAGGATCAGCATGGGGTTGGGGTGGTCACAACCTTATTGGCTGTCACTCTCCACTCCTCTGCCCCAACCTATGATGGGTAGGATGACCAGATGTTAGGTTGGAAAATTCGACTGAGGGACCTTCACCAAACAGATACAAATTCCAAAGTAAAGAACAAAACACCCATATTAAAAGAAATTGAGAATTAATTGAATGGCTCTAAAAGTTAACATCGTTTATGTCAAGGATAAAAAGAGATGAGGAGAAGCTTTCCAGAGGAGTTCTTGAATACAGCTGATGCCCTCTGGCAGGGTTCACCTTGTGCCAAGTAAGAGAGATGGAAGGGGCTACTTTTTCCCTAAGTCTTTAGAGAGGCTTCATAAGTATAATTTGGAAGGTCTAGATGTATTCTCTAGAGTTTGGGAGACCCAGTGGTCTTCAGACAAGCTTCCACCTTAGAAATCTGGAGGACAAGAGGTTGGGCAAGGAGGGACTCTGGAATCTGAGAAGTACCTGTACCCCTTCCTGCATGCGGAGTTTGTAAGATTCACGTTTCCACTGAGCATGTGGGGCTCACATGAAAGCAGCCAGAATGACATCTAAGAAGACCACCTAGAAGCATCTGAGAGACAACAGTGAAGTCCCTGGAGAATGGATTGTCTAAAAACCAATAGCTGAGTAGGAAACCAATAGCTGAGAAGGGAACCAACAGCTGAAGGAAAAGCCCTGCCCAAGTGAGGAGAGCTGAAGCCAGATGGACCGAACGGTGGAGCCACCAAAGTCCCCCATAAGGGGCCAAGTAGAAGTCAGATTTAAATATCTGCCAGGCCCAGAAAGCAAAGGGCCAGCTACACACAGCACTGATGCAAATAGGATCCCAGAGCTGCTTTTTCCCTCTTCCCCATATTCCAACACCAAAGTTTCAACAATAGCAACTAGGAAGTGGGGGAGTCAATGGAAGACAAAGAAAATGGCATGCCCTCTCCCATTGTAATAGACTAACCTAAAAATGGGGCCCAGACTGGGGAGACAAGACAATTGGATATTAAATTTGAAGCTATGTCTGTGGTGATAGTGGACACTCTAGTTTGTAACTGGAGATTATTTTAGTGACAGATGCCCAGAGGATTGTCTTTTAGGCTAGGAGTGAACCTTAAGGACAGACCCTGCCTGAGACTTACATTTCACCCAAAGGCAAGGAGATATCTGCTATTCTTCAACATATTAAACAACAAAACAAAAAAACTGCAGATTAAAAAATATATTGTGTTTGATTTCCAAGTTGTACTTGTTTTAAGTACTGATACAAAGAGAAATAAGCTCCAAATATATCAATAAAGGGGGGAATAAAAACAGGGGAGGAAAGACTCCTTTCCAGCATGAAGGCTGGACCTTAGAAATGGCTGGGTAGTGTGTTCAGGCAGATGGGCCTGAGCAGATTTTTAAAAGGCCCTGTGTCATAGCTTACAGCACAGAAGCCATGAACAAGAACCATGTGCTTCAGAGTAACAAAGCAAGGACAAAGAGGTTTATAATATCCCAGAGAGTTTCTTTTGGCTTAACAGGAACAACAACATGCCCTCTTGGTACCTAGGGATCCTGGTAGAAGCTAAAAGAAGGAGAACAGAAATCCTTGAAGATAGATCAAGGTGTGCCTCAGCAGTGGCCCACAGCTACTCACAAGGGTTGGGAAGATGGACACAACTAATGGAAATGACAGCTGAGAGGCTGGGATTTGCTCAAGGATTTAGCATTTCATAAACTCATCTAGAACCTACATGCAGCATCAGATTGCTAACACAGGGTTAAACAGAGGATCCAAATGAAATTTCAGTTCAGCTATAGAAGAAGAAATTAAGTTACATTTCTTAGACACATACACAAGAAACCTACCTGCCACATGCGGGGAGGCTTGTCCACGACTCCTAAGGGTCCTCCTGACGTGTATCTTTGTACCACACACTGGTTAAAAAGCCTAGAAGAGAATTAGAGCCAAGTCATTTAGAGGCAGATTAATGGTATGCAAAGATGGGCTTAAGTGTTTGACATCTTATCTGTTTGGGGAAATACCAGAGGGTTGTAATAAACCGAGCACAACAAAATATAGTCCATCGATGTCTCCAAAACCCTTTAAGAATCGTCAGATCGTCTAAATAGAATACAGAGTGATTAGCAGAAGCAATAAATAAATAAAGTAAATTAGATTGTTTGGTTTAATTTTTTTAAATAAAATACACAGAAGAACTTATCGAAGTGGCAAAGCATAACGGGGAATTATAAAGTTCCTACCCAAGATACAGAACATTTAAAGCATCGAATTTATTTCTGATGAGAGAAGGAAAAAAAAAATCAAGGAAGGGAACAGATTATGACTGGGACGGTTTTTTCAAGAAAAACTTCTTTGATAAGATGACATTTGAGCAGAGACCCGAATGAAATGAATGACCAAGCAAGGGACACCCTTTGCAGGCAAAGGAAAAAGCAAGTACAATAGACCTATGCTGAGAGCTTGTTAAGTATGACTAGAAAAAGCAAGACATATCTGGCTACACCATGTTTCGGGACAGGAGTGAGGCTGAAAGGATGTAGATCATCATCTACAATGGTGAATCTTGTCTTTTATTTTCATTTTTTTTCAGTTTTTGTTTCATAGATTATGCAGCTCAGTTATTTAGTACACACAGATTTTCAGGATAGCTACTTTTTGGTGGTATAACTCTTAGGTGCTATATCCTCTGTCCCTAGCACTTAATTTGCTTTCAAGATGACTCTTAATATAGCAACTCTTGATTTTTCTTTATAATCTTGTTATATACCTTCTTTTCCATTCTTTCACTTTCAAACCTACTCACATTACTACATTGAACAGAGTTTTGTATAAGCAACATAGTTGAGACCTGTTTTGTAATACACTCTCACAATGTCTTTTAATTGTTACATATGGACCATTTACATTTAATATGTTTATTAATATATTAGGGCTGAAGTCTGCAATTTTATGCTTTTGTTTTCTCTGTCCCCTCCCCATTTTCTATTTCTGCTTTCTTTTTCTTACTTTTAACATTTTTTATAACTCAATTTCAGCTTACTTGTAGTATTTTTTAGTATCTCTTTGTATCATCTTTTCAGTGGTTACTGTAAGTATGTGATATTCCATATGCACAACTTATAGTCTGCTACTGTGATTATTTTACAAATATAAGTGAAGTATGTGAATCAAGATATCATGCCCTATTGAGTATTTCTGAAAATTGGTGAGATTGATCAATGAGGAGTTTAAATATCACAAAAAACACAGCTATGTGAAATACTATCTTGGGTTTCCCCCATGTAGAAATACACACGTATCCACACCCCCTAAAAAAAAAAATGAAAGTGAGAAGTGATTTGGGATTAAGTCAATGGGAAAAAAAATTCTGACTTTGATTTGAAACACCAAGGCTAATGTTAGTTTGACTTATACTATTCTGTAATAGACAACTCTTAATGTCTAGGATAATGTTTTTCTAATTCATTAAAGTGAATAGAAATTGAAAAGTCTTTGAAGTCCTAGACAAAATTTTCCATTAATTTTATTTATCGTGGCATGGACCATCAACAATTCACAGCCTGTTAAAATTGCAAGTAGGTTTAACAATTACCTAAGCTAGTGTTCCTCTTTCACAGAAAATAAATTTCAGAGAGATGAGGGTAACTTTCACAAGGTCACAGGTGAATCAGTGACAAAGCTGAGCTAGAACCAATGTCTGATGACACTGAACTGCATCACAAAAGATAAAAATATTAACTTTTTATCTAAAGTATGTCAACAGTCTGCTTGGAATTCAGTTATGCTTCATTTCCTTAAGGAAGGCAAAATAAGAACATGGCAGATGGAATATCATCACTCATCTACATTGGAATTTAACCAGGACACTGGGGTTTAAACTTACCCGCTTGCCAAAAGTAGCAATAGATAACAAATAAATGGCCCGATGGATACTGCAGACCCTAGCCTGCAAGAGGTTTCCACATGAAATTTTAAGTTAGTGTGTCTTCTGTGTATCAGTGAGTTTTCTCCTCAGTCTACCCAGGTTACCACAGAGTTGTAAATTTGATGGACACAGGCATTTATCCATATTATGCAGTTTAACTCACTTTAAATGTTAAAAAATACTTGAGTGTGTACAAAAGAGATTGTCCTCAATTCCCAAAATATTTTCTATATTCCCTGATTCATTTTACAAAGGATCAGACCTCTAGAGTATAGCTCAAGTGACAGACTTTCCCTTTTAGTCATGAAATCTATGATCCAAACTGGAGGAAAAAATTCTTGCTCATCTCCCATTTATATTCACAGTCAGATACTATAATTAAATAATAGAGTTTCATTTACTTGGGCTCGAATCCATTAATTTTTTTTTCTTATTTTCACTCATCTCTTTTCTCTGAAACATATCCCAGTATTATTATTATCCTTGAGCACACAAATACATGGATCTGTGAATCTATAATGAGATCTTCCTATTTTTTTATAATAGAGTTTGACTTGATTAAATGTCTAAATTGCTTTCACTTAAATGCTGTCTAAATACAAACAAATACCTAGATACTACTGGGAAAAAGAAATCAGTATTTAATAGTTGACCTCCTAGCCAAGTGCATGCATTGTGTTTACTCCAGGGAAAAACTTGGTTCAGAAGCTAACTTGGGTTCCTTAACTCATTGCCAGCAGAGGGCTGAAGGCGTTAATGCTCTGTACCCAAGTGAGAGAGTTCAAGTGCCCTTGTGTTTCAGCCCTACATTCTCTCAGATGATAAAGCACTGATTTGCATCATGTACAGAGAAAGTCACGTGTCTTCCCTCACCCAGTGGTGCCACATGTGCTGAGGGGCAGGAAAAAAGGGGCATAAATGCTAACCACTCCAAATAGGGAAGTCCCTGAATCTGAAAGAAAAACAAAGCTAGCAGCCACTGTGTCCAACTCTTGAAAAAGACAGAACTCCAGAACTCCCAAACTCCTCGGCCTTTTTTTTTTTTCTTTCTTCATTTTTTTTTTTTTTTAAGATTTTTAAGAGAAGGGAGAAACTTTGTGGAATTTGTATTCACACATCCAATTCTGTGCTGCCAACACAAGCCCATGAAACTCCCTTATCTTTTTCAGAACTTCTATTCCAGATCCCCAGCACAGGTAGGCAGAGACCTCACAGGCATTTCTATAGCCAATGCTCCAATGCTCACTGTGTTTCTGTTTGCCTCCAGGAGGCAGGGTAGGAAGGGGAAAGAGTGTAAAAGCCCCAAAGTGACAGCTAAAACCACACAGCTAATGAAAGCTTTAACATTTTTCACTAGTTTGCTGTGTAAATCCCCCTGCTAATTTAGAGAGCTTCTGTGGTCTTTAACATTAAAAAGTAAAAGAGATGTGCCTCTCTGCTGGTATCCATGGAGTATAAGTAAAGTCTGACTTTACCAGTTAGAAGAAATCCATAGATGAGAAGATCACATTCCTCTATAGACTATAACAGTTAACAGGACCACAGCCCAGTACTCTACCTTTCATTGTTAATAGGCCACACTTTAATGTAAGAAGACTTGTTCCCCTTTCTAGCCACAGTACCACCACAGATGAAATGGAAATTAGAAGATAATTGGCACCTAGTTTGACAAAGATAGCACATATTTTTTTTAATATTTATTTTTTAGTTGTAACTGGACACAATATCTTTGTTGTATTTATTTTATTTTTGTGTGGTGCTGAGGATCAAACCCAGGGCCTCACATGTGCTAGACAAGCGATCTACCGCTGAGCCACAATCCCAGACCCACATATTTTTAAAAATATTTTTAGTTGTAGGTGGACACAATACCTTTATTATGTTTATTTAGTTTTATGTGGTGCTAGGGATCAAACCCAGGGCCTCACATGCTAGACAAGCGCTCTACAATTGAGCTACAACCCCAGACCCAACATCATATATTTTAATGCTTTTTATAACACGAAGACATTATTTCTGATTAGAAACAAAAATCCTGAGAATACACCAAATTCTATGTTCTACGAACAAAAAGTAATCCTAAATTAACCCCTCAGCTGACATACTAAAGACTGAATGAATGATGACATTAGGATCAACACATCAATCTGTGGTTTGAGCTGGTAAACTTGGCTTTATTTACAATGTCTTAATCCAAACATTACAAAGCAACAGTATTCAAGCCCCATCTATGGATAAAACAAAATTCCTGGCCCTAATATAAGTGTCAAAGACATGCTCAGCCCATCTTCAGGTATTAAGTCAAATTAAATACATATATTGTTGAGCAATATCTGCAACATACTTTGTTAGATGATGTGTAGAAAACAAAGTCATTAAAACTTACTAATAAAGAGGCTGTGATCTAACTACTTCAAAGTTAGAAAAGTCATTAGGAGGCGAAGATATAAAATGAGGAATGCATTCCAGAATGTTACAAATAGGGTGTTACAACAAAACATAGGTTTGTGTATTGATATATAAAAAATTAAATAGCACCTAAAATATGATAATGTCAAAAATTACAGAGAACTCATCTTGGACATCTGAAATTCCTGGGTCACATGGAGAGAAAACTGGAAGACTTGGTATTGCCATGAGACAGTGGGTGGTCTCTCCTGGGCACTGAGAGGCTAGGAAGAACCTGAAGAACAGGGCTTGCAGGCAGGCCCAAGCAAGAGCAGGGCAGGCCCCAGATGCCTGGCAGAAGCTAGAGATAACAGGATTCACACACTTTCATCTCAGGAGCTCTAAGAACAAGGTTTGTGGAACCATAGCTCAGTTGGCTCTGGCTTATTCTTCCCAGGGTGCTCAAATGTCTTTTTACTGAGCAATTATGGACTATCCCAGGAACATACCCATGGATCTCTCTACCTTATATCCAGTCACTTCTCAAAGAATGGAGGGCGATTTCAATGACCAATCCACTTTTTCTCTGCAAATAAACAAAACAGCATCTGAA